TGTTCCCAATAATTACGGATATGGTGTGGTGACAGTTTGTATACGACACAATCCACAACCTTGTTCCCAATAATTACGGATATGGTGTGGTGACAGTTTGTATACGACACAATCCACAACCTTGTTCTCAATAATTACGGATATGGTGTGGTGACAATTTGTATACAACACAATCCACAACCTTGTTCCCAATAATTACGGATTTTGATGAATTGAATGATTTGTAAGACTAAAATAATTTTGGTAGATGTAACATTTAATATATGTAACAGAAAAATCCGTAATTATTGAGAAAAAGGTTGTGGATTGTGTCGTATACGAACCGTCACCACACCATATCCGTAATTATTGAGAACAAGGTTGTGGATTGTGTCGTATACGAACTGTCACCACACCATATCCGTAATTATTGAGAACAAGGTTGTGGATTGTGTCTAATGTATTAAAATAAAGAATTTATAAGTCTTATAAAATATTGCATTCATGCTTAGCATATAGTGTTAAGTAGAGAAGGGCATTATTAAAAAAAATCTTAAAAAAGTATTTAATTCCATTATGTTTTATAACATAGTAAGATGTTTTAGTATTTAAATGTACATCAGGAGTTCTTTTAAGCAAATTTCATAAAAATGAAAGGAACAAAATGACAACCAAATTTTGTGTCCTACTGATCTAATGTATCACGTACCATTAAATTTATCATGTCTCTTTAGTAGCGAATATCTTCTGAAAAAATGAAGTGAACTTGATTTTGAGTTTAATTACAGTTTCAACATTTTCTCCACCAACCCATACTCTTTCATAGGGAAAGTGTCAGTATTAACAACATCTTCAGCTATTCAAGGAACAGCCAATTTACACTTTATACCACATGGGTTTAAAAAACCACACGAAATGTTACCTTTTTGTTTACCCAATCCACGATCTGAGTTTCTATAAGAGGGCTGCCTGTTCCTGCTAGACGTGTAAGCATGCCAAGTGTATAAGCCCTCATCAACTGCCACACAAGGGCTGCGAAGAATGGAATGAACAGTGATAAATATTAAAGATACATCACTATAAGAGAACAATCACATTAATTTATGGGACAAACTAATTGCAGAGCTGTGAAGAACAAAATAAATATAAAGCTAAAGATATTACTATAACTTTTAATAAATATAAAGCTAAAGATATTACTATAACTTTTAATAAATATAAAGC